AGAAGATTAGAAAGCTAATAGCCTTTGTCTGCTTATAAGTAATCTGAGAGCCTATAAGTAATTTTATTATTTAAGTTAGCAAGGATAATATAATATTATTATACTCTATAGGCTAGATTACGCTTTACCTTAATTATTCTAATAAGGCTAACCTTCTTTTTATATTTAATTGTCCTAAGATCCTTAATAAAGTTATTATAATTACTTAGAGTATAGTTATATACTTAAATTAGGAATCTATGCCTTAAATAATTAAATATAATATAATACTTAATATAATATCCTTAATTTGCGCTAGTAGTTTTGTAACCTTAGAGATAATAATAAAGATACTAAATAAGTTTTTAAGACAAGAATCGCTATACCTTAATATTAGTTATATATATATAGCTAAATCCTATATATATGTTATAATAAATAGCTTCTAAGGGCAGAAGACTAAGGATACTATCTTTGCAGAGAAGGAAAAAGTAAAAGACTCTTGCTAATTAGAGAAGCTATATTAATCTTATTATTACTACAACATTCTAAAGGGTATTGTTGTCCCTAACATTTCTATATTTACTTACCAAGAGGCCTATATTAATAAAGACTTATTACTAACGTAATAGAAGCAGCTTTAATAGCTAGCTAAGCGCTTTGTAGTCATCTTTAATAACGCCTCTAGCATAACTCGCTAATCAGAAAACAAATAGCTACAGATAAGGGTCTTATTAGAGCTTAAACAGAAGCTAAAGCCTTAAGCTCTATACTAAAATATGCTATATACTAAGAAGAATATTAATATTATATTTAGCAAGAATGTTCAACTAGGCTATATAGTACTTGTTAAGTATTCCCCTTACTCTTTATTTATATTTATAATATATAAGTATACTCTAAAGAGTAACATTAAAAAGGCGTGACTAGTAATAGATCTGTAATCTCTTAATAATATAACGAAATCTAATATATATCTATTACTCTTTTAAGAAGATATCCTAGCATTATTAATATAAGCTTTATATATCTCCTTAATTAACTTTATATCTAGCTTTTATTAGCACTTTCTACACCTTAATAACTAATATTAAATAGTAATAGTTTTTTATTAAGGTCTAGAGCAATTTTGTATAGCACTTATAGGTTTTAAAAACTCGCTTACTTATAATTAGAGGACCTTTAAGTAGTTATTTACTAGTCTATTATAGAAAATCATTAATATATATATTAATAACGTTAATATCTTCATAAAAGGGGCTTTTAAGCAGCATCTTTATAATCTAGATATTATATTTTGACACTTAGCTAATATAGGTTACATATTTAAGGCTAGTAAGACCTATTTAAGATTCTAGAAACTTGTTATACTTAGCAAGTTAGTAAGTTAACTCAGCTACTTTATAACTGAAGAAAAGCTTTAAGTCATCGCTAATTAGAATATACCTAGAAATAGCTATAACCTAGAACGCTTTATTAGATTTGTTAGATAACATTATTAATAAGTGCCTTACTTTGCATAATGTTCTAAGATACTTTAAGAGCTTAAAACTAGCATCTTTTGAGCGCCTTAAAAAGATAAAGGTTCTCTATCAGAGAAGCCTCAGAAGCAAAAGAGCTATAGGTCAAAAGCTCTAAAGAACCTATAGACAAACCAGCATAATGCTGCATTCAAGGATCTTAAGGCTATATTTATAAAGGCTAATGATATTCTCTGCTATTTCGACCCTATCAAGATCCTTTACGTATTTCTTAACGTATTTAAAGAGCTTAGTTTTGATGTTACAACCTATTAGTTAGAAGGCGAAGAGGCTTAGGATCCTTACAAGCTATTAAGGACCTTCTTAAGACCTATTATCTTTCTATCTAAGTGCTTAATGCTGGCTAAACGTAACTATTAGCCTATAAACTTAGAACTAGCAGGCCTTGTCTAAGCAGTTAAGTAATTATAAATCTATATTAAATAAATAAGGACTATTATTTATATTAACTACTAAGCGAATCTAATTATTATAGTAGCAAAGTTACTATATATAACATCCTTTCTAAAAATAAATATATATTAATAAGGCTAGGCAGTATTCCTAAGTTAATACTAGGATAATATAATAGTTATCTATAAAGAAGACTATAATATAATAGTCCTAGACGCATTATTAAGACTTTTTATAAAGCTTTATAGCCAGAAGGAGCTCTAGCAGCCTGAAGAGAAAGCCTTTCTTAAAGTAGTACTATTAGGGCTTAACGAAGGAGAACTTGAGAGACTACGCTAGGAGGTCAAGCAAGAATTTCGCAACCTATGTGAGAAGTTCCAAGAGATGCCACTGCCTACTCTAAACCCTTAAAGGCTTCCAAACTGACCCTATGCCCTGTTCCATCAAGAGAATAGTTCGGATCTTATACGACTTGACGCGCAGGGAGCTGAACCGCGTTTTGTTATTCCTTATAGCTTTTGATACGTAATGCTGCAAGCTGCGTATAATGACCAGGTCCACGGAGGCTATACGCGACTACGTGAGGCGCTCGCAGGCGTATAGTGGCCAAAAATAAGTAGAGATATCCTGTCCTACGTACACTACTGCACAGGATACAGAATAAATAAGCCGCGCTATATAGGCTTCGTACTGCCTCTCCAACCGCTTTAAGCATCTTCGCAGCCTTTCTACTCCTTAATAATGGATTTCATTACCGACCTACCCTTAGAGGATAGACATAACATAATTCTAGTCGTCATTAACTGATTTTCAAAATGAGTGGCTTTCAAAATAAGGAAGAAGGCGCAAACGGCTAAGAAATAAGTCAAATGCCTCTGGGATAACGTTTTCTGTAAGAGGGGCTATGGCTTACCTAATACTATTACTACTAATAGAGACGCACAATTTATAGCTGCGCTTTGAAAGAGAGTGTTTAAATTAGCCGGCACGCGGCTGATCTATACTACAGCATATCACTCATCCGCGGATAGGCAGTCCGAACGCGTTAATCAAGAGCTAGAGACGCGACACAGGCTGACTAGAGACTTTTCTTACCTACTATCGAGTTCTACTTTAATGTGAACTACTTATCTGTTGTCGAACAGACCCTATTCTAGGTGATCTACAGCTTCACCCCTACTACTTAATTAACGCTATTAATGCCAGAAGCACCAGAGCAACTTATCGCTGAACAGCAGGCAGCAAGAGATATCGCATTAGAAGGGCTTTAATTAGCGGCTAATACAATGGCTGACAGAGCTTTGCAAGACTAATCTTTCGAATCTAGGTGGGCTCGACTGCGTCTTTCGCTAAAGACCTACTCGTTGCCCTCAACACGTAAATTTGCGTTATCTCCACGTTACACGAGAGCCTTTCGAATTCTAGAGACCGTGGGCAAGGGCAACACGCTACGAATGGACCTGCCTGCCAGCTAGGGCATCCACCGAGTCATCAATAAGATCCATCTTGACCCTGCGCCAGACCCTGAAGACGACCCCTATCAGCGAAATGTACCTCCTCCACCAGACCATATCGACGAAAAAGGGATGGAACAATAGGAGATAGACGAGATAGTGGGCTAGCTCGTTAACGGCGAGGTTATAACAGACAAGGTGAGATGGCATGGCTTTG